CTATAGTTGAGAAAAAAAAAGTATTTACGTATTTTGACGTTTATTGAGAATACTTATTTACATGATATTTCGACTATATTGTATCGAAAAATTACAGTCTAGATATGGAATTTGGTATGTTTGAATAAAAAATGAAAAATTATATTTAAAAAGAGAATCACGAATTCAAGATAACAAAACAAGTACATCACAACCTAAGCAATGAATATATCAAATTTAATTGTCATGCATTATGAAAAAATTAAAAAAATCACTTAAGTTTGAAGACAATGCAAGAAAGTAAAAGCTTGAATTGCAAATTATGAATGCTTTGATTTATCAATATACACAACAACCTAATTTTGACTTTTTGATTCATAAAGAGTTCAAACCGTAAAAATTAACATGTAATAACTTCTGAAATACAACAATTTGATGTGAGGCAAGATGTAAAAAAGTAGGAGCCAGTTTTGATTTCTTAGGGTTAGAGTATAGAGTTTTATCTATCCTATAAATTGTAAAAAAAAATTATATAAAAATCTATTCCCCTCGGGTATCCACGGTTTTGGTTCGGGAACCAAGAATCGAACCGAACACAGTTAGTTATCAGTTTTCGATTTTGGTTCCTGATTTATTTATTTGGGAATTGGATCGAGACCTCCGGTTCCAATATAGTTTCTGTTCGAAAGATCCAATTTCGGTTAAAATGCTCAAGCCTAACTTCAATAAATAGAAGATTTCGTAATTGGGGATATTGTAGCTTTGATCCCCATCATTTATACTTGTAGTGTATGAATCCTCAACTTTCATTATATTTGCACTCTTCATCTCCAACGATGGAAACATTCAAATTTAAGTTAAATGATAATGTGTACATCCAATGTCTAATTTTATGAAATTGAGTTTACTTTGAAACTTGGAGAGGTGTCCAAAACTCTGCCCACATTTGGTGGCCTTTAATTTGAAAAAAAACTATGTTTTGAATAGTGTACTTAGCACATAATGTCCTAACATTTTACTACTATTATGAAAAACTTTATTACCTTTAATTTTTTGGCATTTTCACCCATATATCACGTTTCATTGTACAAAAGGTAATTTTCATCCATTTTCTAAATTAAAAATTCTGAAATGAAGAATATACCATTCTGTTTAAATAAAACAAAAAGTAATAGAAAGAATTAATTGTAAACATTATGCCAATTTTTTTTTTTTTTTAAAAAAGTGCAAACAAGTTTCAAATAAATTATTAAAATGGTAATTAGCACATAACGTTTCTACATTTCACTATTACTATGAAAAACATCTAAAACTTTCGGGGCCGTTCTCTTCGTGTTTTAATTTTGTGCTTTGAGTTTTGAATTCATTTTGTATTTTCTGTTTTGAGTGTTTGTTTTGGAATTACTGAAAACATGTTCTCTTTGTCATTCTGAAAAACTGTTTCTCAAAATAGAAAATTTGAAAATGCTTTTACTTTAAAATTTTGAGAATATTTTTTTTATAATATTTT